AACGAATGCAAGATAGTCGCCTTGCAAAGACGCGCACGCGAGGTTGATGTCGTCACTGTCGCGGCAAATGGAGTGACCACATCCGTGCCTGCACACGGTTGTCGATGACGCTCATGCAGCTGCCAGCCAATTCATCCGTCAGGTTGGTCCAATCAATTGTCCTTCGCTAGACGGGTGGATCAAGCTGTGAAGATGTTGGAAGGGACCATCATACACGCCGCTTGCAATGGTTTCAGACCGGGTGGTGGTGGTCTTGCCTGCACGCGACAACGCCGTTCGTCCTGCCAGATCTTCCCACCCCTCCAGCACCACCAAATTCGACTCCCCACGTTCCAGGGGTCCCTTTCCACGTGAAGTGGTCGTCCACGCGTTTTGGATTTCCGACCACGTAAGTTGGGCGAATATCCGTGTCAAAGACAAGATTCGTTTTCGTGCGATTTGATTGGCTTTTTCTCAACCGGATGGGCAAAAACGCCACCTGATTGGCTAAAAGTCGATCGTGCATGTCAAGACATGGTGCATTGGTCACTTTGTACGGTATCGATCCGTGTGCTGCACACGCTCCAGTCTTGGCAGTGCTCGACCTTTCCAGAACCTACCTCCGCGACCGACCCTCCATCATGCTGAGCAGTCCGAGGACTCCGTCGCAACATGACGACGCAGTGGGGACTCCAGGGTGCGACCGCATCGTCGCTCTCGTCGTCTTGGGCGTCTCAAGTTTGTTGTAGAACGAATGCCACCGACGCAAACGTTGGCCTCATGCGGCGGTCATTGAGCCGCACTAGCTGGACGTCGTCGAGTGCGAGCCTCCACCAGCCTCTTCTTCCGGCCATCACGGTGGTCCAGCGTGACGCGGTGGCTGGAGGGGACGTGTGCGTCGATGCCACGCCGCGAGACAGCCATTCCAGTGCCAAGGGAGCGGCGGCCGAACTATTACTCGGACAACGCCAGAGCTCCATGGTGAGCAACAAGAGCGGCAACAACGATCCCAACACGACGGGCAAAATGAAGTTTAACATGGGCAAGGAGCGCATCCTCGGGACGGACATCAAGTTTCGCCGTACGCACAACTCCACGAGGTCCTCCCTTGACATGACGTGTCGCTGTCGTAGCCGACTTCAAATTCAACATGGAGCTCGCGCTGCGCACGGCCGTGGGCGTCCTCCTCGCGTCCATGGTCCAGACCAAGCACCGCCGAGACAATGCCGAAGTCACGTCCAACTCGCACGAGAAGCAGTGGAAGTTCTTTCCCGAATGGTACATCCTCGGCGGGATTTCGTACGTGGCGGTCGCGACAGTCTTTTGCTGCGGGCGCAACATCGGGTCAACCGTGCGCGAAGTGTTTCAGCAACTGTGCGGTGTCGGTGTCGCTTTGCTCTACAACCTGCTCCTGTTTTCCGTATTTCAACCCCAGGTGTTTGACACCAAGGCCGCGTGTACGCCCGCCATCTCGACCGTCCTTGACACTGACGCGCGAGGCACCCATGTGTGTAGACGAGGCGGCGACGAACGATGGTACGCTGACGCTCATCTCGCACGCGTTCAGCGGAAGCCCATACTACGTCCACCAGCGCGATTTTTACACCATCTTGCCGTTCATCATGCTCTTCACGATGCTCGTGTTGGTGCTGCCCATCGTACGGCGGTCTCCATCTTGACAGCGCCTGACGATCTTGTCTAGGAAAACAACACGAAAAAATACGCGATCGGGAACAACCTGTACTTTGCGCTGACGCTGGTGAGCCCGAACGACTTTACCAACCCGTCGTTGCCGAAAGCGTTTGGTGACGACGTGTACAAGACCCCGAATATCCTGGCCAACCTCCTCGTGTACTCGACGCTCGGGATCCTCGGCGCGATCATCGCGCAATTCATGATGTGGTTTCCGTACCCGATATTTGCGATTCGGTCGCTCCAGGACGAGACCCTCACGTGCGCCGACACGATCCAGGACCTGCTCAACTTGATTGTGGACTCGTACTGCTTCAAGAATAAGGACGTCGACCACATGAACTTTCTTCGCCTCAAACTCAAGCGAAAATTCGACCTGGCGGCGGCCAAACACACCAAGATGACGGCGCTACTCAATGACGTGTGGTGGGAGCAGCTCGTGGGCCTCCACATGCCCCTCACGTTTCGCATGTCCGTGACAAAGCCATACATCGAGCTGTTTGGTCAGCTCATTGACGGCTTGCGCGCCATGACGCAAGCGATTCAACTCGAGCGGTACGAGCGCCTCCACCATCTCTTCATGAAGGCGCTGCAAAAGCAAGTGTACATGATCCAAGTCAAAGCGACGGCGTTGCTGGGCGAGATATCCACCCACATCCACCACGGCGACACCGGTACGTTGTCTCGGCTTGGCATGGCATGATTGTCGCGGCCGTAGAATTGCAACTGGAATCTCTCCAAGAGCTCGAGAAGCAGGTTGAAGCGCTCCTCCAGCATTTTCAAGAAACCCAAACGCGCATCTACAAGCGCGAGTCGCCGTCGCCCAAGGACGTCGAAGGCAATATTCCGCTCAACCTGTTTTTGTTTTCGCTCCAGTCGTACTGCTCGACCCTCCTCGAGTTTCAAACGTCGTTTAACGCCCGCACACACAAGACGGTGCGTCTGCACATGGTCGTGAGAGAGCTCAACATGCCATGGCATGTCCTTCCATCTATGTAGAACTTGCGCATTTTCAAGTTTGTCAAGGCGCAATTGGCGAGTTACGTCGACCCGTCGCGGTATTCCCGCAGCAAGCTCGAGACTGCGACCAAAGTGTGGTTTGCCATTCTCTGTGCGTGCTTCTTTTCCGTGTACACGTTTGGGTATTCGTCGACGACGGCTGGGACCGTCGCGTACGTGATGGGAAATCACATTGGTACGTCGGTCGGTCGCTTCGAGTCGCTGAAATACCCATGCCATACACAGGGGGGTCGTTCAGCGTGACGGCGAACCGAGTCGGCGGCGTCGTCGCGGGCAGCATCATTCCGTCCGTCGCGCTCTTTTACATTTGCTCGTACTCGTGTTTCAGCAACATCGCAGTCGTGTTTTTCTCGAACGCGATTCTGTTTGTGTGGGTGACCATGTCGATGTATATCAAGTGGAAGGGCGGGTTCGAATCGTATGCTGGCCTCGTGAGTGCGTACACCGCGACCAACGTGATGCTCAAGGGGTGCGACGGGTGTGCGACTGGCAACGTGACCCCCACGTCGTCGTACGCGAACCTGGCGCAAATGACGCTCGGGATCGTTCTGTTTATCGTGGTCGAGCTCGTGTTTTGTCCGCAGTCGGCCATCGGGCTCCTCCGCGCCAACGTCCAAAAGCACATGAAGCTCGCGCAGGAAGCGTTTTTGATCTTGTTTGAACAAAACGTGCACAACAGCGGCGTGATCGACCAAGACAAACTCGACCAAGTCCAGAACATTGTCCAAAAGCAAATGCCGGCGCTGTTGACCGACCAAGATGGCCTCCTCCACGAAGCTGCATTCGAGCCGCTGCTGTGGAAGCCTCCGTTCTCCCAGTCCAAGTACCAGTCTGTCCTCGACTGCTGCCAACGGCTGCTCAACAACACGCTCGTCTTGTTCAAACTGGTCACGTGGTTCAAGTTTCGCGTCGAGCAGCGCAACCTGACGCTGCACAAGAAGCTCGACGTCGAGAAGATTACGCGCAAGTCGCACGATTCCGCGACCCACCACAGCGTGACAACCAAGGAAGCATGGGCGTTTTCGACCGTCGAACTCGGACACGCCATCCATGACACGTTCGACACACTGCACGACCTCTTTGGCGACAACTTTATGTATGCCGACGGCGACCAGACGGCGCTCTTCATGCAGATGAAGGAAGCGTTCCGGGTCGCAGACACGGACTGCAGCGGCGAGATTGACGCCAACGAAGTGCGCCACATGCTCGAAATCGTGTTTGCCCAGAGCGGCGCGGTCAAAGTCGACGCCATTGATAGTTACGTGCACGACTTTATGGAGATTGTCGACAAAGACCGAAGCGGGAAAGTCAGCTTTGAAGAGTTTATGGATGCTCTCGAGCACGGACTCAAGCTGGAAGTCGAGGTGTTTCAGCACCGGTTCAAGAAGGTTGCGCTGCCGCCTATCGCGGAAGAAGGCGCGGCGGCCGGCGTTGAGGCCGAACATGTGGTTGTCCAACTCGGCGGCGACCGATCGGTGGTTCCGAGCCCGCGGACCAAGCGGCTATCGTCCGGTGGCAGTGGAGCGTCGCCATTGACCCGTTCTCACGACATGCTCAACGTGGATTCGTTTTCGCTCCTCGAAATCGCGCAAACGATGCGAACAACGTATGCGCAGTGGCTCATGGAGAAGAATCGCTTCGAGCGCGTCACGATGGAAGAACTGCTGTTGCTGAACTGTCTCATCAGTGGCGTCAGCGGCATCTCGCGCAACCTCGCCCTGTTGGAGGAAATGACTGTTCAGCAATAGCGTCGGGATGCCTATTGCTTGCGTGGTGTGTGTGGTTAAGGTGAAATAGATGCGATTCGCGCGCTTCGTGGTTGCTGCTCGTAGATGCGTCCCGTGGTCAGCCATGCACGACGGCGCAGGATGGTATGACGGGCGTTGACCACCGCCGCCACCTAAGCTGCAACGGAACGCTCGAACCAGTTTGAATCCGTGGCAATGCAGCCGCATCGAGTCCATGGAGCTGTCGCTCCCCCGCACGTGCAGCCGTCAAATGCATCGTATCCACCAAACGAAGCGAATGCGCGAATACACCCCGTGGCCAGCAGCACTTGGTCGGCGAGCCGAGTGCCACAAATATTGCGGGCAACGATACACGCACGTTCTTCTATCGATGGTATTACAGAATTTGGGAGCAACTCTTCCGTGGCGATGCGCCCTCGCGACGACGTCAACCGACGAGCCATGCGCATGGACAAGAAATGCTGGACAGCGCGCACTCGGCCGTTCAATTCCAGCAGCAGAGTCCACTTGCGGTAACTTGTGCAAACCTTTTAGACAGGTTAGTTGTCGTCAACGCCGGCTTCGTTAATCGTCACAAGGTTCGCGGTGGCGTCGAGCGTCACCGACACCCCGAGAGGCCAAGTCGCGATCGGGTCCGAGTGGCCACAATCGACGCCGTAAACGATGGGGTATGTCGTCGATCGCGTGTGGTGCAGGACAAGCGCTTTCAGCTCGGCGACTTGGTCGTCCGTATAGGCAAACCCTCGGCCGACAATGAGTCCGTTCAAGTGCAGGAGCGTTCCGTTCATGCGGAGGACCCCAAGGTAAGCGTTGACTTGGTCCATGATCATGCCTTTGTCAAACGCCGATTCGGACTCGGACGTCTCGATCAGGAGGACGCAATCCACGAGCGAAGGCATGTACTTGGTGCCAAACACGTTGAGCAGGACAGGGAGACATCCCCCGAGGAGACGTCCCGAGGCAGCGTGCGGCGACGAGCGCAGCCATTCGTGTCCTGTCACATTGGGTTTCATGGGTCGAATCGTGTGCATGTCTGCCTTGGTGAACCAGTTGATCGACTTGTCGTCGGACCACGTGTCGGACGGCATGACATCGCCAACGACGGTGCTCGTCGCGCGGAAGAACGCGTCCGTCGTGTACGTTAACGGTGCAGGGAACTCGCCAAATTGGCACAATACGCTCGGGCCATAGAACGTGACCATGTTGGCCTGTGCTTGGAGGGCCAAATGCATGGTCGTAATGTCGGAAAAACCGCAAAAGATGGTCGGGTGTTTGGCCAAGATGGAGAAGTCGAGGTGTTCCAGCACTTCGTGCGACGTAAGACCACCAATCGTGCACACAATTGCTTTCACCGCGGGGTCTTGGAACGCGTCCATGATATCTTGCGCGCGCTCCTCGGGACTGCATGAGCTATACGGCCCCATCTTGTGGCACGAAGGGTACACCTTGACGACGTATCCTTGCGCTTCAAAGTAGCGCTTGCCTTGCTCGAGGCGATGAGCTGCAGGCACGGCCGTGCCCGACGCCGGCGCGACAAAGGCGACGGTGTCACCCACGCGAAGACGACGAGGGCGCTGCATGGTGGAGGAATTCAACAATGGCCTGGTTGAACCCACCCAAACATGGATTTGTTGAAATATCCATCGCCGACTCCAGAATCGATCCGATTGGTCAAATCTTTTGTCGACGGCATTTGATTGGCTAGTTCTGGGCACAGGCACTACTTTACGCGCGAGTTGGAGAGTCTCTCGGGCAAACTCAAGTACCGCGGATCCGCGACATGGACAGCTCACCATCTTGGAGAACCAGGTCGTCGCAGAATGTCCAGCGTGATAATTTCCAAGAAGAGTCGACGGCAGACACCCCATAGCGCATCTTGCGAGGGCACGGCCAACTCGATAGCGCTGTTCCATCCACGTCCTTTGTGCTCCTTTTTAGCAGGCACAGTTCGCCAGCCAATCAGATTGATTCATCCATGTATCCGGTAATTTTGTCCAATGATGCCAACATGTTGCTGGATAAGGATGCGCCCGCACCCAGCGCCAAGCGCAGTTCATGCGCTCGGCTCAGTGTTATCGTTGCATGCGACATGCAAGTACTTCAAAGGGAACTGATACCCGCATATGGTGCAAATCATCTACGGAGTACATTCGAAACTGGAGCTCCTCGACGAAACGAATCGCGTAAGTGCATCCCGTAAAGAATCGCTTAAGCCAATCAAAATCATTTCCTTCAAATAGTTATAGCCAATCAAATCACTGCACTGTCAGCAGTCAGTCTCCGAGTGACGATGCAGCGCACCAGCTCACTGAAGAATCGAAAGACATCTTGGCGAACTTGCATTGCACGACGCTCTAATACTTTCCATGTGAGCCCGTAGCTGTGTATAATGCGCCAAATTGTGGTGACGGAGATGTACTTCTTAAAATGGATTTCGAAAGCACGCTTTGCCTCGTCAAGGTAGGCAATTGGGTTTTGCTGGTAGTATTGGACAACCCACTGTTTCTGCTCGTCGCTGAAGGCACGGACTTGACTTCTTTCGTTCGAAGTCGGATGTGTTTTCATACCGCTCAATCCAGCTTGAGATCGTGGACACAGACTTGTTGAACAGCCGTGCGACGACAGAGCGCTTGGGGCCAAGGAAGTAGTACACATAAAGTGCGTGCACGATAGTGTTCTTCGATGCATGAGTGTGCTGAACGAGCCTGAGGATCATCCTTTCTTGCAATTGTGTGTCAAAGAGATGTACTGTGCATTGTATACTATATTGGGGACAAGATAATCCCATCTAAGACGTTTTCAAGCGGTTTTGGCCAATCGCGTCGCCAGTCCAGATTTGGGCGAAATCGACAATATTATTCACTTTGAAACAATTGACTATTACTACTCTGGTCCGTATTGTTTGTCACATTGACTTTTCGATTGGCGGGATTTTTCTAATTTTGGCTGTATTTTCGATCTGATTGGTGCAATCGAAAGCGCAAGATAAGCACTTTGATTGGCTGTTTTCAGAACAAACCAATTCGTTTTACTTCCCAAGATACAGACCACCACAGTGGCGGGAGCTAAAGCAGCTCAACGTTTTGACCTGTCACTCATTCATTTCAGAATTTCCACTTGCTTAAGACACACACACGCATCCCACGAACCCTCTATACGCTCATGACAACGCCAGCGTTGCCATGAGCCCATTACCTGACACGTCAGACGCACAAAGAACCTCGCGGCTGACCAGAGGCGCGGAGCCGATGATAGCCTCTTAGCACTCTCTGTCGACGGCAAGCTTCCGTATGGGTCATTCAAGACCCAGTCCCAGCTGTATGACTGCCACTGGCGTACCATAGCTCGCCTGTGAAAGCAAGGACACAGCTCCTTGGCCGACGGACGCGCCACCGCCGTGATCGGGTCAAAAATCAGTAGTAAACCATTATGATTCTATATAAAGTCTTTGTGCACAATATATCGAGGGTATTATATTAATTAAAGAGGTTAACTTGATTAGGCAATTCTGGACGTAAAGTCTCCGCACCAACGACGAAATTGAAGCCGCCATCCGAGCTGTGCCCCAGCATGCGCGACAGACAATGTGCTCGTTGGCGCGGCACTGAAGAAAGATACAATCATAGAGAACTTGTCTTTGTTCAATGCAGCGAAGGAGGCCGATCACGTGAGCCTCGTGGCACTGAACCAGTGCCGCCGCTTCGTTGCACTCGCCAACGCACCGTTTGACCGGGTCCAGGTCGGATTGCTCGTGCGGGAAGTTGGAGCACTCTGGACTGTGTGCGCCGACATGGCGTACCTCGTTGAAGTCGTGTTGGAAGGGGTCGATGTCTCGTCAGTGAGGGAAAAGTACGCCGGCCGCGTTCAAGTAATTTGATTCGTTCAATAATAACACATTAAATTAACTTCGACCAATATGCGTTGTTGGAGACACATACAAATCCCAATACACTTCAATCCGAGACGGTATAATGAAACCAAGTGAAAAACACAGGCAAAATCTTAATGGACCAGAGTAGTAGAGGGTTTACTCATCATCATCGTAGCCATCCAAGCTGCAATCGCCGAAGTTATTGCAGTCACTTTCATTTTCGCTCTCCGTGGAGAACGCAGTTCCAGCCGCATCGTCTGCTTCGTCGACGGAGTCCTGTTGCGTTGCCATATCCACAACTGAGCGATCTGTATGACCAAGGACCAAACCATGCGACAAAGTATGTCAAAACACTGCGTGGTAGTCCTTGGATTGGTTATGAAATTCTTCAAACGTTTCATAGGTCATAGTTTGGAGTTGTCGCGGCTGTCAGCCATGATGGCAGCTATGAAGCTGAACTGGCGCCCTTTGTGCCTTGGTTTGGAATCGGTGGTTGGTCAGGATGGTATATACTATCATTATGACGAGCATAATGGTGATGAATATAGGATTCATCCAATTAGATTACAAATAGTTTACCGGTCGGGGCTGTGAGGACTCAATTGCAGTGGTCATGCATTGAACATATTTATCCCTAGTACTACTAGCAAATGTGTCGGTATGTTTAATAGCATGGTTTCCTATCCTTTGACAACGTCGGAATCCCTTTTACAAGGAATTTTATCACTAATCAAACAAGCATTCACTGCGTTTTTGTTTGAGGATCGTAATTTACATTACCATGCTCATACAAGAACTTTTCACATCGTTTGCAACCACTCGTGTCCGAGTTGATCTACGCTCACGAACAAATGATTGAATCATACGTAAGACCTCTCTTTTTGTCTGGATAACGTGTATTGAGGCTAAATTAATTCGCAGCAACTTTGGCAGCAGTCCCAGTCTACTCTGGTCGATGTTCAGAACATACGTCCTTTACAGCATGAAGGATCTGACCTACAAGCTGTGCAATCTGCTCTGCAGCATCTACTTCCTTTGTTCCATATTAGTGCCCAGATGTGACTTCATGTTGCCCCTAAAATGGAATTCTGGTCCAAATTCGATTAATCACATCTTGTTCAATAGGAAATCAAATTCTAAAGGAAAACTCTATTGACTGCAAAGCGCGAAAAGCACATTCTGGCGTCCAATTTTCACTTCGTCATCGAGT